GTGTCTGGCAGTGAGGGTCCACGGAGTGCCTGGCAGTGAGGGTCCACGGGGTGTCGGGCAGTGAGGGTGCACGGGGTGCCTGGCAGAGGCTCCACGGGGTGTCTGGCAGTGAGGGTCCACGGGGTGCCTGGCAGTGAGGGTCCACTTGGTGTCTGGCAGTGAGGGTCTCCGGTGTGCCTGGCAGTGAGGGTCCAGGGGGTGCTTGGCAGTGAGGGTCAACGGAGTGCCTGGCAGTGAGGGTCCACGGGGTGCCTGGCAATGAGGGTCCACGGGGTGCCTGGCAATGAGGATCCACGGGGTGCCTGGCAGTGAAGGTCCGCGGGGTGCCTGGCAGTGAGGGTCCACGGGGTGCCTGGCAGTGAGGGTCCGCGGGGTGTCTGGCAGTGAGGGTCCGCGGGGTGTCTGGCAGTGAGGGTCAGATAAGATAAGATTTCGTTCGGATTTTTAACCCCGGAGGGTTAGCCACCCAGGATAACCCAAGAAAGTCAGTGCGTCATCGAGGACTGTCTAACTTATTTCCATTGGGGTCCTTAATCTTGTCCCCCAGGATGCGACCCACACCAGTCGACTAACACCCAGGTACCTATTTGCTGCTAGGTGAACAGGACAATAGGTGTAAGGAAACGTGTCGATATGTTTCCTCCCGCCGGGAATCGAACCCGGGCCCTCCGTGTGTGAAGCGGGAGCCTTAGCCACCAGGCCACGGGGTGCCTGGCAGTGAGGGTCCACGGGGTGCCTGGCAGTGAGGGTCCACGGGGTGCCTGGCAGTGAGAGTCCACGGGGTGTCTGGCAGTGAGGGTCCGCGGGGTGTCTGGCAGTGAGGGTCCACGGGGTGTATGGCAGTGAGGGTCCACGGGGTGTATGGCAGTGAGGGTCCACGGGATGCCTGGCAGTGAGGGTCCACGGGGTGCCTGGCAGTGAGGGTCCACGGGGTGTCTGGCAGTGAGGGTCCACGGGGTGTATGGCAGTGAGGGTCCACGGGGTGCCTGGCAGTGAGCGTCCACGGGGTGCCTGGCAGTAAGGGTCCACGGCTTGCCTGGCAGTGAGGGTCCACGAAGTGCCTGGCAGTGAGGGTGCACGGGGTGTCTGGCAGTGAGGGTCCACGGGATGCCTGGCAGTGAGGGCCCACGGGGTGCCTGGCAGTGAGGGTCCACGGGGTGCCTGGCAGTGAGGGTTCACGGGGTGCCTGGCAGTGAGGGTCACGGGTGATGGCAGGAGGGTCCACGGGGTGCCTGACAGTGAGGGTCCACGGGGTGTCTGGCAGTGAGGGTCCACGGGGTGTCTGGCAGTGAGGATCCACGGGGTATCTGGCAGTGAGCGTCCACGGGGTGTCTGGCAGTGAGGGTCCACGGGATGCCTCGCAGTGAGGGTCCACGGGGTGTCTGGCAGTGAGGGTCCACGGGGTGTCTGGCAGTGAGGGTCCACGGGATGCCTCGCAGTGAGGGTCCACGGGGTGTCTGGCAGTGAGGGTCCACGGGGTGTCTAACAGTGAGGGTCCACGGGATGCCTCGCAGTGAGGATCCACGGGGTGTCTGGCAGTGAGGGTCCACGGAGTGCCTAGCAGTGAGGGTCCACGGGGTGTCGGGCAGTGAGGGTGCACGGGGTGCCTGGCAGTGAGGGTCCACGGGGTGTCTGGCAGTTAGGGTCCACGGAGTGCCTGGCAGTGAGGGTCCACGGGGTGTCGGGCAGTGAGGGTCCACGGGGTGTCTGGCAGTGAGGGTCCACGGGATGCCTCGCAGTGAGGGTCCACGGGGTGTCTGGCAGTGAGGGTCCACGGGGTGTCTGGCAGTGAAGGTCCACGGGATGCCTCGCAGTGAGGGTCCACGGGGTGTCTGGCAGTGAGGGTCCACGTGGTGTCTGGCAGTGACAAGTGGCCCCCGGGATTTCTCGCAATGGTGAGTTAACTCACACGGTGGATGACAGTGAACAGTGATGAGTTAACTCACACTGTGCATGACAGTGAGTAATGACGCCCCTTGGCCTGGCTGGCAAAGCTCTCGCTTTACACGCTGAAGGTGCAGGTTCAATTCCCGGCGGGGTGGAAGCATTTCGACACGTTTCCTTACACCTGTTTTCCTATTCACCTAGCAAGTAGGCACCCGAGTGTTAGTTGACTGGTGTGGGTCGCATCCTGGGGTACAAGATTGAGACTCAATGGAAATAAGACAGAGAATCCCTCGATGACACACTGTCTCTCTTGGGTTATCCTTGGTGGCTAACCCTCCAATGTTAAAAATTCGAATAAAATCTTATCTTAACTCCATACTGAGGCTTAATAACACACATGCCAAGGCTCAGGCATGTCACTTAATTGAAAGTTAACAGGCGGACCAAGAGGCTGGAGCTATTTTCCCTGTAATCTCAAACAAAAAGTCAGCTAGGTTTAACCTACTCACACGTATATGCACAACGAAAAGGTTAGTTTAGGCCAGGATGTGTCCTGCCCTTCCCATGGTTTCTTTGACTTGTAATAATGTGTACATCTAGTAGTTTGCTTACTTGAGGGAGTTCCGGGGGTCAGCGTCCCCCCCCACCCGCGTCCCGGTTCATTCTATATAATAATTTTCCTTTAGAGTCTATGTAGGTAGGTAATGGAATGAACTACCGACATGACGGTGCCTGATTGTAGTTAGTCCCTGGAAGTGCCTGGCGGAGAGTAGCCCCACTCAGTGCCGGGGTGTAGTTAGTCCCTGGAGGTGCCTGGCGGAGAGTAGCCCCACTCAGTGCCTGGAGGTGCCTGGCGGAGAGTAGCCCCATTCAGTGCCGGGGTGTAGTTAGTCCCTGGACGTGCCTGGCGGAGAGTAGCCCCACTCGTGCGGGGGTGGTAGTTAGTCCCTGGATGTGCCTGGCGGAGAGTAGCCCCACTCAGTGCCTGGAGGTGCCTGGCGGAGAGTAGCCCCATTCAGTGCCGGGGTGTAGTTAGTCCCTGGACGTGCCTGGCGGAGAGTAGCCCCATTCATTGCCGGGGTGTAGTTAGTCCCTGGACGTGCCTGGCGGAGAGTAGCCCCACTCAGTGCCGGGGTGTAGTTAGTCCCTGGACGTGCCTGGCGGAGAGTAGCCCCACTCAGTGCCGGGGTGTAGTTAGTCCCTGGACATGCCTAGCGGAGAGTAGCCCCACTCAGTGCCGGGGTGTAGTTAGTCCCTGGACGTGCCTGGCGGAGAGTAGCCCCGCTCAGTGCGGGGGGTGTAGTTAGTCCCTGGCGGAGAGTAGCCCTACTCAATGCCGGGGTGTAGTTAGTCCCTGGAGGTGCCTGGCGGAGAGTAGCCCCACTCAGTGCCTGGAGGTGCCTGGCGAAGAGTAGCCCCACTCAGTCCGGAGTGTAGTTAGTCCCTGGACGTGCCTGGCGGAGAGCAGCCCCACTCAGTGCCTGGAGGAGAGTAGCCCCACTCAGTGCCTGGACGTGCCTGGTAGAGAGTAGCCCCACTCAGTGCCTGGAGGAGAGTAGCCCCGCTCAGTGCCTGGACGTGCCTGGCGGAGAGTAGCCCCACTCAGTGCCTGGCGAAGAGTAGCCCCACTCAGTGCCTGGACGTGCCTGGTAGAGAGTAGCCCCACTCAGTGCCTGGAGGAGAGTAGCCCCACTCAGTGCCTGGACGTGCCTGGCGGAGAGTAGCCCCACTCAGTGCCTGGAGGAGAGTAGCCCCACTCAGTGCCTGGAGGAGAGTAGCCCCACTCAGTGCCTGGAGGAGAGTAGCCCCACTCAGTGCCTGGAGGAGAGTAGCCCCACTCAGTGCCTGGAGGAGAGTAGCCCCACTCAGTGCCGGGGTGTGACATGTACTTGCACAAGGCTGTGACGGCATGCACGGAGGTCGTCATCAACATAAAAAGTTACGGTGTTCTGTCAGGTCTTCCATTTGCCCCCCCCCCCGTCTTCTCCCTCCCTCCCTCCCTCCTGGTTCCACCATCCCTTGATGAGACGATTAGAGAAAAAGATAATTTCCCAGAGCAGAAAGGATTGGCTACAAAAAAAAAAGACACTTATTAAAACTTTCCGCTTTAATTAATGTTTTTCATGTTCTAATTAATTAGGCTATTAAAATTATACTTAGAGCTGAATGTTCTCACAGTTAAAGAAAGCTCTCCTCCTGTGTCTTTTTTAAGTAAAGTCAATAGTATGGTGCTGTATGCACTGACAGGGGAGACTGAAGGAAAGCTGCATAATAATCCCGTAAGTTCTTGGCCAGAACACACAATACTTAATTTCAGAGTGAACCTCAGGTTTGGCCAGCACTTTTTTCTTGTTGTGTGTGAAGGAGATAAAAATCTATTTTCCTATTTAGCTGTTAGTGTGGTTGGCTTTTTTTTTTTACACTGCCTTTTTAGTAATTAGGTTTTTGAGATTTTTTTTTGTTTTTGCTGTTGCCTTTTGGTGATCATGTTTCGTGATTGCCTTTTATGATTTCGTTTTGTGAACATTACATATATCTCATAGCCGGCAAGTGGGTTTCAAATCCAAGTGCTAATATCCCATACAAGCTAGTTTATTAAGCTTCGCTGCCCCACACGCTTTCCATACGTTGAACTGAAAGTTATACCCTGCACATGCTAATTTAGCCCTAGAATGCTACTAGTACCTGGCCATGTAGGCCAAATTTCATCTTGCCTCGTTTTTCATGTCATCTCGGGAGATTATGAGAGGTTTTGACTGGAGTTTTGACAAGAGCTTCGCCGTCGTTGCACGCTGGAATGAAAACATCAGTACACCGCAGCCAGTTGCTAATGGCTAAACCAGTTTTATGTGCCCAGACGGTACACATCACCGCTTTCTGCGACCTGCCGCGCCCCAGCCATAGGACTAACGACCCTTTATATCCTGACAGCAATCATCGGCCCCAGAACAAGGGGTAATGACAATTTCGTTTTTGCACCAACGACTCCTCCATTGAGCCACTAAACGGGTCATAAAGACCTGTGTCTGATCGTTATTCCCTGGAGAAGAAACAAAACTCTTTCTCTTACACTCTCTCATGCACACTTTCTCTGCTCTGCAACTCGTACTGACCTGATATCCAGCTGCCATTGAAGGAATGTATCTTAAAGTCGTCGCCTAGTATGTCCTCTAACTCAAATCTCCGACCTTTGACTCTGGGACCGTCGTCAGGTGGAGTCAGGAGGAGTACAGATGTCACGATCATTCCCAGCACGAAGCAGATGACCAGCACGGCGATGATAATGCCCTTCCAGTTGCGTTGATTTGGGTTTGAAGAGGCCAGCTCCTGCAGGGAAGGAACAAGATATTTGATTACTGGATGGAAGAAAGTGAGGCGATATCTTGCTGTATTGTGGGAGATGTCTATATACTGGGGAGGAATCTACAATGGCGGAAGCCTGTAAGCAATATGGGAGGTCTCTATGTATTGCGGGAGACCTCTATGTCGAGGGTGGTCTATAAGGGTAAAAAGTTCTGTGAAAGGTCTCTATGGAGGGCTGTACTGTGTGCTGGGGAAAACTCTCTCTGGTATGGATGTCCCCCATGTCTGGGATATCTGCTAAGTGTGCGAGATTTGCATGGTATGAGAAATCTGTATGGTGTGAGAAATATGAATCGGAAGGAAGGTCTTTATGCTAGGTAAAAGCAGTATGGTGTTGGGATCTCTATGATATGGATATCTCATACGTATGACAGAAGTTGTTTACATGGTTACTTTTCCAGTATGTAGTGAAAAGGCTGTTCACCAAACACCATTTCCCATTCACTATAAAAGTCTGTTTACATAGATAAGTCCATGCACAGGCTGTGTACTGGGTCCACTCTTCATAAAAGAACCGAGGCCTCCTCACACAACGCTTAGTTAAACAGTGCAGATGAAGAAGCCGTAAAAATCATCCCACGGAACTGGACAAAAAGATTAGAAAAATGAGAAGGAATATAATATTAGAAAAATCTCACCGTGGGTATGAAATGAAGGTGCTGAAATATAAGCCATTAGAAAAAAAAATTATCACATTACTAGCAACAGGAAAAAGTACCAACTACCAACGTGGTTCCGATAAATGAGACGGGAGAATACTGGATGATCACCTAGAAATGAATAATTTTTAAAATAAATTGCTGGGATTCAGAATGAAAAAATCTTGCTTATAGAATTCTATGAAAGAATAATTAGAGTCAAGCAAGGACTGTATTCCTAGACTGCCAGTAAGTCTTTATCATGATTCCACAACAAAATTAATTTACAAACAAAAAATATCAGATTGGAGTCCGGGAAAACACTACAAAGAATAAGAAATAACAAATAGTCTGCAAAGAGTCAGCGTGTGAGGAACTAATATGCAAAAAATGGAAGGTAATGCGAATAAGAAAGTGAGGGAGAAGGCCAGATATATATTCTACTATTTGAATGGAAGGTAATGCGAGAGCCGGAAAGAGATAAAAATAATCTGCTGTGTATCACGCTAATCTATTAGTGGCATGCGCACGGCTGGTTAAAATAAAAACAACCTTAAACTTAAAAAAAGCCATTAAGAAAACTATACATAGCACAGGCAACAGTATGGAACCCTCATCCTTTTTAAGCACATAGAGAAAGTAATATAAAATTCAGAGGTTTACAGCAAGGTAAGTCCCAGGCTAAAAAAGTTGGAACACGGCGGTAAGAAAGGAGAATTAAATCTGATATCGATGTACAGGAACAGCTGATGTGATGTGGACTCTTACTACATACTTAGTAATATCAACAAAGGTGCACAGAGTTACGTTATTAACACGTGACGGAATAGAACAAGAGCACACAAAAATTAACTGGAAACTCAGTCGAGTCAGGAGACAATAATAATGATGATAATGAAGAAACATTATATTTCAGACTAAGAATAAGCGGTAAGTAAGTAGAATACAATAAATAATAAGGTCATGGATGTTTACTCTATACATGGATTCAAAAATATTTACGACAAAGATCCAGAGTACATAAACTGACCCAAGTGTTTGTTGACACAAGGTAGCCACTCATAATGACAGAAAGTTTCAAGTAGAAACGTGAGAAGAAAAGGAAATATGCTTAAGTATAACATTACCAAGAGAGTTTGTGTCCAGGACAGCTAAATAAATTAGGAAAGAAAAATGGTCAAGGTGAACAAAGCTGGGAATACAGTGAAATTAGGCACGTTCATAATCTCTCGTCTCCAAGTGTCCATCATCTGCGTTGTTCTTTATGGATATTCTTGGCGGCCAACACGTGAGCAGACCACAACAGCGTAGTTTTAGTACTGTGTACATAAAAGAACCTCATAAACAGCAATCAGTTGGATAAACGAGGCTAGGATTACAGAGATGTAGTGGATGAGAATTAAGTGACTTGTATAGCTTCCGACAACGAGCAAGTTAACCCCCCGTCCCCCCTCCCTCCAGTAGTGGAGAAACAACATAAAGAACAATCACTGGAGGAAACAGTGCGAAGATAACTTAAGTGCAGTATAGCAGAAAAAATTCAAGGACTTAAGAATTTAGGCAACTCTACCCAATATTCGATGTTTGCAGAGTGATTCCTAACCTAATATTACTTAATTTAGGTAAGTAAGGTTAGGAGGTTCAGGCAATAATTTTAATTCAGGAATTCGGTAGAGGAGAGATGTTGTGTCTTGTAATTAGAATGGTCAATTACGGGGTGAAACGAAGAGACTATTCGCGGAATTAATGAGAGACAGTTGAGCCGTGTAGCAGCAGGCTAGGTTCTGCATCCAGCCATGAAGGAGCTCATGCAGAAACTGGTCACGAAGACGGAGATAAGTGAAATGAACGAACAAATCCAAATTATAAGACCCACAAGATAATGTAATTGGGAATAAATGCGTAATGAAAATAAACAAAAAATATTACAAGACGAACACAAAAGAATTTAAGCATCACTACATTTGCAGAGACACGATAGTCAAAAAGATCATAAAAATCCATAAACGATTCAGGCAGTGGTAATCCAGGTAGGAATTTTACTTGCACCAATGAGAGACACCACATAACCAAAGCTAGGTCATAATAACAGGATCAAGAGATGCAGAAATAGTGATAGGAGATAAGTACAAGGATTGCTGAAGAACCTGGAACCTGAAAGAGAGGCTTGACAAATCGTGTTACATTTTTGAGAAATTCGAAAGAAAGATTTAACTCTTATTTATCTTCTCAAATGGAAAAAAAAATTAATTAATGATTAAGGAGAGGAAGATAATAATAAAACAGACAGTCGAGTACCAAAAAATATTTGTACGGGAGAATATAAGCTCAGAGAGAGAGAGAGAGAGAGAGAGAGAGAGAAGGAGAAAAAGAAGAGAGAGAGAGAAGGAGAGTGGGGGGAAAAGGAGAGAGAGAGCATATCCAAAAACAGAAAGTGAAGCACGAGAATGGAGGCACCCAAAACCAAAAGGATAATTAAATTTAGAAATGGGTATTTAAAAATACCAGAAAGCTTCCCGTATCCCTGTCCTCACTGTAGCCTCGAGACTAGAAGACAAGGACATTTGGTTACAGATTTACAAGGGCAAAGTCACTGAATTTACCATCTCCATAACTCGTGCCCAGCAAACTGGCTTTCCATGAAGCAATTAACAAATGTTACCCTGCTCACACTCCAACAGCACGCCAAATCCCACCAGAATACCTTGCATCAGATCACTCTCATCTAACACGCTGGATACTCAACACTACGCACCTCTCAGAGCCTCCTTCACGCTGCCCTTCCAACTTTCTCTCAGACGTTTCCCCACATTACCTTCAACTCATGATTTATGAAACCTCTTACCTAGTTTTTCTCAATCCATTTTAAATAACCAAACTATCTCAACAAAGGTTTCTCCGCTACCTGAATAATACCATTCACATCTTCACACTATCGTCTAATTTCTTCATTCCTTATATTTTGCATAATTCATGCCACACATTAACATGTAAAATAATATCTCTACAACCTCCTCCCCCTCGCTGCTACATTTAGAGACGAAGGTTCTCACTTGAACAGCACTCTGACATAACTACACACTGACACATTCCTTTTCAGCATCAACTGTCAAACACTTCTTTTCGCAGGCTTCTCAGTATTTCTGAGGTCTTCTTTTCCTAAGGTGTTATCCACGTCAGCTTTCACAGGCCCATGGTCTAATATCAAAATATGTCCACTTTACTGTGCTTCCCTCCAGTCCAACGCCCACTCATTCACTGTCTAGACAACTTTCTTACATTCCCTTCATCTTTTCTGCATTCACTTTCAACTTCTTTCTTTTACAAATCCTTTCAAATCTCAAAGAACCCCTTAACTTCCTAATCTTCCAAGAGCACTGTCATCAACAAGGTGCAACCCTGACAAATATTTCTGGCTCCACATTCATTATCTTTTAATCCGGGAACACTTCAGAGCCCCTTTTCCTTTTCCCATCTTAAAAAAATTTAATTTATGGAGACATCCCTCTTATTAAAAATTTGTAACATGGGAGTGAAATGGGAAAGGGGTTAAAAAAATTGCACTTGGGAGAAATTTGGTCTTTTTTTTTAGGTCATAAATGCCGGAGTGTATGTATGTTAGGGAATTTTCTTGGCGTCATTAAGCTTATCCGGTGTGGTTTTTAAAATTTTTTTTCCTATAATATTTCCTTTTAATGCCCACAAAAGGGAAGGGAAAAAACATCATCTTATGTTCGTTGAATTTTGGCAAAAAAACGGTAAAAATTTTTTACTGAATTAATTATAAAAATTAAAAAGGAAATTTTAAATTTGTGTTTTTTGATGTGCATGAATTTTAGTGCAACATTTAGGGGGAATTTATTGCTATGGTGGAGTGTATTGAGTAAATGTTGCGCCCTGATGAAGCAGCGAAACAGTCTCGAGCGATGGAACCCGGGATAACCCCACTAATTTAAAAGCTCCAAAAAATTTGGTTACAAATCTTCGATGTAGAATTAAAACACAACATCCAGTTGGGAACGTTCATTAATAACCCAAAAAAATTTTGAATGGAATTGTTGGCTTTTATTGTATCATGGGGGGTACCATGACAACTAAGAGACAACCAATGATTGTAGGGCCCCCAAGACTGTTCAACTGCCCCACAGATACATAAAGGGGTTTTTCCAATAGACTTGGCTGCTTCAAGAGGGAAATGGACAGGCACCCAAAATCATACCTGACCAGTGGTCGGTTTTCGTGCGGCAGGCAATAACAGCTAGGTTGATCAGGCCTTGATTCACCGCGAGGCCCGGAACACCCACCAGGTCTGTACTGAACCATTGT